TAGGAATCAGAGGGCCCTGCTCATTAGAGCTTACAATCTAAGAGAAATAAGACTTGCTCCTCTAGGCTTGGGTGTATTGTAGAGTTTAACATGAGGGCCCCTACAGAATGTGGTAAAGCAGGCCATTGTTTGACCACCACATTGTTTGCATCGGAGAAAAAAACTAGCATGCGGGAACATTTGTGGTTTCATGATTTTGTTACTCTCTGCCAGGGTGAATATTATTCTAACGCAAACATATTTTAGGAGGATCTTAAGTAAAATCAGGCTTTATCATACATAAATAAGAAGTAATAACTCAATTCATCTTCAGCACTGTTCCTAAAGATACCGTATTTGCCGGCGTATAAGACAACTGGGCGTATAAGACGACCCCCTACTTTTCCTGTTAACATATAGGGTTTGGGCTATACTTGCCGTATAAGACTACCCCTCTTCCAACGCACACCAAAAATTAAAAAACATCAGATTTGATTTCAATATGGTATGGTATTCCAATGATGGGGCACTATTCCTCCCACTGACACCAATGATGGGGCACTATTCCTCCCATTGACACCAATGATGGTGCCCCATCATTAGTGTCAGTGTGTGAGAAATAGTGTCCCATCATTAGTGTCAGTGGGAGGAATAGTGCCCCATCATTGGTGTCCGTGGGAGGAATAGTGCCCCATCATTGGTGTCAGAGCAACGAATCGTGCCCCATCATTGGTGTCAGTGGCAGGAATAGCACCCCATCATTGGTGTCCGTGGGAGGAATAGCGCCCCATCATTGGTGTCAGTGGGAGGAATCGTGCCCCATCATTGGTGTCAGAGCAACGAATAGTGCCCCATCATTGGTGTCAGTGGGAGGAATAGTGCCCCATCATTGGTGTCAGAGCAACGAATTATGCCCCATCATTGGTGTCACTGGCAGGAATAGCACCCCATCATTGGTGTCCGTGGGAGGAATAGCACCCCATCATTGGTGTCAGTGGGAGGAATTGTGCCCCATCATTGGTGTCAGTGGGAGGAATCGTGCCCCATCATTGGTGTCAGAGCAATGAATCGTGCCCCATCATTGGTGTCAGTGGGAGGAATAGCACCCCATCATTGGTATCAGTGGGAAGAATCGTGCCCCATCATTGGTGTCAGTGGGAGGAATAGCGCCCCATCATTGGTGTCAGTGGGAGTAATAGCGCCCCATCATTGGTGTCAGTGGGAGGAATAGTGTCCCAACATTGGTGTCAGTGGGGGGAGGAATAGTGCCCCATCGTTGGTGTCAGTGGGGGGAGGAATAGTGCCCCATCGTTGGTGTCAGTGGGAGGAATAGTGCCCCATCGTTGGTGTCAGTGGGAGGAATAGTGCCCCATCATTGGTGTCAGTGGGAGGAATAATGCCCCATCATTAGTATCAGTGACACCAATGATGGGGCACTATTCCTCCCACTGACACCAATGACACTTGCTGACTCCTGTTCTAGTATGGTACTGCTGCAGCCAGCATATGTGGTTGCAGCAGCACCTCTGCACTGCACACTTACCCTCACTCGATTTTCGCGGGTCCGCTCGGCTCCACCTCCTCGCCCGTGATTGGCCGCCTGTGTGCCTTTCCTGAGCTACAGTTTTGGCGGCCAATCATCGGTGAGGAGGCGGAGCCGAGCGGCAGGAGTGAGGGAGTGGCCAGAGTGACTGAAGGAGCAGCGCTTCCTGGATGGATCGTCGTGGGAGCCAGGTAAGAGACTGCAGCCCTCTGCCCACCCCTGTACTTGGTGTCCCTTGCATCCGAAGGGGGGGACGGCGGCAGCACCGTGCCGCCCCCCTAAAAAATGCCCCCTGACGTGTACCGGCGTATAAGCTGACCCCCGACTTTTGAGAAGATTTTCAAGGGTCAAAAAGTCGTCTTATACGCCGGAAAATACGGTATTATTCATAATTATACAATTCCTAACAAAGAGTATGGAATCCCCATTCTTGGAAAATGTTTATTCAATTGTTTAATTGTGTAGAAAAAAAACAATCACAGTCATGCTCAAAACTATTTTCATTTAACATTCCAACCTTCTGGCTTTAAGAAACACTTAAAATAATAAAAGAGAAAGAAAATTGTAGTCAATTGCAACTGTTTTTGCAGATCAAGCAGAGGAAAAAATGTGGAATCACTCAATTCTGAGGAAAATATTATGGAATCACCATGTACTTTGCTATTCTAAAACAAACATCTGCATCAGATTACATCTGCAAATTAGTCTGCAGTTAAAAAAAAAAGAGTGCTTGCACACCTTGGTGAGCTGTTGCAGCAAGCTGATTGATCTGAATCATGGCTCCAACACAAGGCATGTCAGTTGAAACAAAGAAGAGGATTATAAATCTTTTTCAAAAATGTAAATCATCATGGAATGTTGCAAAAGATGTTGATTGTTCCCAGTCAGCTGTGTCTAAAATCTGAGCCAAGTACAAATCAAATGGGAAGGTTGTAAAAGGGAGCGTACTGGTAGACCAAGGAAGACATCAAAGTGTCAAGATAGAAAACAAAGCAATATGCCTTGAAAACAGAAAATGCACAACAAAACAAATAAGGAACAAATGAGCAGAAACTGGAGTCAATGTCTGTGACTGAACTGTAAGACATCACCTAAAGGAAATTGGATTTACATACAGAAAAGCAAAACGAAAACCATCATTAACACCTAAATAGAAAGAAACAAGGTTACAGTGGGTTAAAGCAATCATGGACTGTGTATGACTGAATGAAAGTGATATTCTGTGATGAATCACGAATCTGCATTGGGCACGGTGATGATGCTGGAACTTTTGTTTGGTGCCGTTCCAATGAAATGTATAAAGACATCTGCCTGAAGAATACATGCAAATTTCCACAATCATTGATGATATGGGGTTACATGTCAAGTAAAGGTACAGGGGAGTCATTAACAGTCAAGAAATCTTCAATAAATGCAGACGTTTATATTGAGATTCTGGAGACTTATCCTAGTCCATCAATTGAAAAGGCTTTGGTGATGATGACATAATTTTTCAGGATAATAATGCATCTTGCCATAGGGCAAAAGCCGTGAAAACTTTCCTTCAGGCAAGACATAGAGGGGTTTATTTATTAAAGTTGGAGAGTCCAAAATCAGACTCCCTTCTGCATAGAAACCAATCAGCTTCTAACCTCAGCTTGTTCAATGAAGCTTTGGCAATGAAACCTGGAAGCTGATTGGTTTCTGTGCAGAAGGGAGTCTGATTTTGGACTCTCCAGCTTTAGTAAATAAACCCCAGAATGTCAATGGCATGGCCTGCAAATAGTCCAGACCTCAATCCAATTGAAAACCTAAGGTGGAAATTAAAGAAAATGGTCCATGACAAGGCTGCAAAGCTGCTCTGGCAACTGCAATAAGAGAAAGTTGGAGTCGGATTGATGAAGGATACTGTTTGTCAATAGTTAAATCCTTGCATTAGAGAATTCAAGCTGTTATAAAAGCCAGATGTGGTGCAACAAAGTACTAGTAGTGTACTGTAGTGTTTTTTTTCATGATTCCATCATATTTTCTTCAGAATTGAGTGATTCCATATTTTTTTTCCTCTGCTTGATCTGAAAAAAAACAGTTGCAACTGACTACAGTTTTCATTTTTCTTTTTTAAGTGTTCCTTAGAACCAGAAGGTTGGAATGTTCAATGAAAATAGTTTTGAGGCCTGTCTGCAATTAGTTTTTTTTCTGCACAATTAAACAGTTGAATGAGTGGTGATTCCATATTTTTTATGAGGGGTTATATTTATTCAAAACCATATATGGTATACTTCAAATTTATTATGCCAACATAACAATTACAACAAAAAAATTTCATCTATGCAGTAAAATAATTTATTACAGGTAGTTTTAGTGATTTTGTTTTTTTCGGTTACTAATTTAATTGATCTCTATCTCTAAAACTTGAAAAATGCCATATACCAGATATTAATGCCCCTGCCCCCTCTGCCCAGACTCAGCAATATTGTGTTGGGGACATGCTCCGACAAGATGTAGAAAGTCAACAGGCACATTTATTTGTGTAGTTAAACTAAACAGCATCAGCAAAATGAATTTGTTTTTGCAAAGCATTTACAATCTGGCAAGTCATTTTATAAACATGTTTTTTCATATGTAGACTGTCAGTGTGGAAAACAGACTTTGCCACGTGTTCAGCTCATGGAAATTTGGTGACCCAGGGCAGAGCTGATGCCAGCCAGCACCCACGTTGCTGTTTATCCACAGTGTTTATGTCTCAAAGGATGTCTGCAAGTTAACGATATGGTATTAGAGAACCCTGATGGAGTGTTTTGGACTGCATGCTTACTACTGATGCATCATTAAAGTGTGTCATAATGAAACCAGCATGATAAGTAATTATTATTAATCTATTTAATGGCATAAACAAGACAAATCTATGCAGCTCTAGATAAATTGTGCATTTGTCTTTATTTTTTAGGCCTTATGTAATGATAGAAACTCTAAAAACTCCAAATGTAGAAGATAAGGCACAGTAAGAGAACAACACATACAGTGCTCAACATAAATCAGTACACCCCTTTTGAAAAGTAAGATTTTAATCAATATCTCAGTGAACACAAGAACAATTTCCAAAATTTGGACAAAACTGAATTTTATAGAACATCTGTTTAGCTCATTACATCAAAGTAAGGTTAATAATATAACTTAGATTACAAAAGTTCAGTTTTACTCAAATTAGTTGATGCAAAAATGAATACACCCTACAACAAAAACTGCTCCATCTAGAATTTTGTATGACCTCCATGATTTGTAAGGACAGCACAAAGTCTTCTAGGCATGGAATGAACAAATTGGCGACATATTGAAACATCGATCTTTTTCCATTCTTCAAGAACAACCTCTTTTAGAGCCTGGATGCTGGATGGAGAGTGATGCTCAACTTGTCTTATCAGAATTCCCCATAGGTGTTCGATTGGGTTCAGATCAGGAGACATACTTGGCCACTGAATCACTTTCACCCTGTTCTTCTTCACAAATGCAACAGTGGCCTTAGATGTGTGTTTTGGATCATTGTCATGATGGAAAAGTGCACGACGACCAAGGGCACAGAGTGATGGTAGCATCTTCTCTTTCAATATAGAACAGTACAACTGTGGATTCATGATAACTTCAATGAAATGCAGCTCCCCGACACCAGCAGCACTCATGCAGCCACACAGAAGGACAATGTCACCAATATGTTTCACTGTAGGTACCATGCATTTTTCTTTGTACTCCTCACCTTTGCGACGCCATACAGTTTTGAAGCCATCAGTTCCAAAAACATTTATCTTGGTTTCATAAGTCCAGAGTACAGAGTCCAGTAGTATTCTTCTTTTTCAGCATGGGCCCTGGCAAATTCTAGGCTGGCTTTTTTGTGCATTGGCTTTAAAAAAAGGCTTCCTTTATGGAAAACACCCATGCATGCCAGTCCTTTGCAGTGTACGCTGTATTGTATTATGGAAAACAATCACCTAAGTTTGGCTATTTCTTTAGCTAATTGCAGGAAATTTGCATGGGAATTTGTTCAACCTTTCTCATCAAAAGACGGTCCTCTCCAGGTGTTAACTTCTGTGGATGGACTGGATGTCTCTGTGAGATGGTTCCAGTTCCATCTTTATTAAATTTTTGTATCACTTTTACTACAGTATTCTGACTGATAAGTAACGCTTTGCTGATCTTCTTGTAGCCTGCACCCTTCTTATGTGAAGAAAATATTTTTTTTCTAAGGCCTTTGTGACATTTCTCTTCCATGTGGTGCCATTGCTGACAGCATGAAATGGGAAGGGGTTTTCTTTGTTAAGTAATGCCCTTTTATAATCAACTGTCTGCTGGACACCTGTTTAATGAATACTTAGACTCACCTGTATTTGAATTCTTGTTAATTAGGATTTTATTGTCTAAAATTTAGCTTTGCTCCTAAGACATTCATTGGGTTCTATTAATTTTTGCAACATAATCTTGAAATAATTTGTTAGGAAAAATACTTTTTTGTGTGTGTGCAAATGAACAAATCTTGTTTGCAAACAATGGTGTGCATTTGTGGGAGTATTTGTAATCTGTTGGGGTGTACTCATTTATGCTAAGTACTGTCCAGCCTACAGTGATCCCACTGAGTCCTCAGGAGCTTATTCCATTTCTGCATCCTATATAGAAATGAACAGTCAGAAGAGGTTGCAGACATTGTAGGGGTTCTTGTGCTGTGACTTTCAGAAAATCAACTTTTCATCTGAATTTTAAAGTAGAACTAAAGCCAAAACGTTGTTGTTCATTTTGTATAGAATAAGGGAGGGTTATAACCACTGTCAGGTATTTTTAGCCATATGTGTCCCATTGGGGAGATTTACCTTTGCTACCTGTCCCAAAACCAAAATAAGAAGTGAGATGAAATCCCTCCAAAGAGGGATCTCTCTTCCAACTCCATTGGAGGATTTACACTCTATTCATGTTCTGGGGGTAACCTAAAATGTGGGATTTTCTTTCACGTTTCAGTGATAGTGGTAAACATGACCAATAGAGAGGGTGAATCTCCCTAAACGGAACAAAGACAGCAATAAAAACCTGGCAAGTACTCTATTCCCTCTCCACTCTATCCAAAACTTAAAAAAAAAAATAAAGTTTGCCCTTTATTTATATTTTAAGTGCTAGTATGCAAAAACAAGGTTTGGAGTGGGTTAATAGAAGGTGAATAAATTCTGGAGCATGCTGCTTTAGTCCATAAAAAGTGCTTCAACAGCTAGATGTGTGAGTTAATTAGAGCAAAGGACTGCCATTGTATTTATGAATATTAAATGTAAGAGTTCCTAATAAAAATATGGTATCTCATTATGTTCTTATTTAAATGAAATGGTTAGTGGATCTGAAGTTATACAGAGGTCAAGCGTTTCTGTGCAGAATGATAGAACTGGGCAGTAAAACATCCTAAAATTGCCCAATAAAAGATTTAGCCAGTTCATAATAATCTGCCTTGCAGCATCACAGCAAAGGTACCTAACTTCAACATTTTTTTATTTTTTTAGTTGGTAATAGAATAAGTGTCCCATCTGGGAAGATTTCCCATTGCCTCCTGCCCCAGTGACAGAGCTTGATCATATAGAAGATGGCCAACTTGGAGGCTGAACTAGCAGCCATTAGTACATTGTAGATTAGCTTCCAGCCCTCTATAAATACTTGGTGCTGTGTTGGGTTTCTTGTTATATGCTATAATGTTATCACCCCAGACCTAAAAGTAATCTTTATTAGCATTTCTTGTAAATGCCATGGCTGCTGTGTAATTCCCCATAGTCTAATTTTGGCTCTGGGCTTCAGCATACAGTATTTTTTCTGTTGCGTTGGGTAAAGCGTAGCACTATAGAAAATGAGCTACAGTCATTTGTAAGTTGTGTAAAATAGTGGCTATCAGCTGGTATTCCTGATACTAAAGTGTATGTAAAGGCAAAACATTTTTTTTTAAGCATTGGATAGAATAGAAAAGAGTTGGGCCCTCTGTCAAGTTTTTATTTTGTCTGCGTCACCACTGTGGATATGCACACCTTTAATTTTAATGGTGAGTAAGGGGAGGAAAAATTGTGAGGGAAAATATTCCAGTTGAGACACTTGCTTTGGGGATAACTGTCTAAGGTAGGAGTGAAGCATCATTTTTCCAATTGTACACAGAAAGAAAAAAATAACCTGACAGGAGTTGTGATCCTTAGAAATTGGGTCATATTTTAATGATAATGAAGGATTAGGTTGTGAAGGTTTACTGTGTGTTTTCTCAATTATTTTCAAAGTTTTATCATATATTAATTATCTTCCAGCATATTGACAGACATTACGGATGTACATCAGAACATGGGTTACTGCCCCCAGTTTGATGCCATTGATGATCTGCTGACTGGCCGTGAACATTTACAATTGTATGGTCGTTTGAGAGGAGTTCCTGAGGAAGAAGTTGACATGGTAAGATGAATGCATATTCTTACAGGATCATAAATACTATATTATTGTTCATTAGGATGTTTTAATTGGCATTTTGGCCACTAAGTATTGGTGGTGTAAATTCTTGGACTTTATTATATAAAACCATTTGTGTGGCACCTGCTTTATTAGTAACTTTACCAAAATTATAGGCATCTTGTCCTCTGTGTAAACCCCATTTTCTTTGACAGGTTGCAGACTGGGGAATTGAAAAGTTGGGCCTTAAACAATATGCAGACCAGGCACTGGAACCTACAGTGGTGGAAACAAACGTAAACTGTCTACTGCAATTGCTCTGATAGGATGTCCTCCAGTGGTGCTGCTGGTTGGTACTTTTTCATACTTCTGTTTTCTGTCTGATCTCAGTTGTTTACATGGCTTCTTTTATTCTAGCAAAATCACTAGGTTAACAGCACCAAATTAAAAGCTTTATCAGGACACACCCTTTCATCAACCAAGTATAAGCTGCAAATGCCCCTCTCCATCCACTATAACAAAGCTATATTACTATTGCTACTTCTACCATCTGTTCAGAAGTTATTCTCTACTCAGTTCTGTATGCTTTAGGGAGAAATGGATTGGGTAAGCAAATATACAGTAAAACAGTTTTAGTAAATGGTCAAAGTGGTTGCAATCCTAAAAAAACCCACAAAAACAAGCTCCTGTCCCTTTAAGGCACAAGATATAGCACAGTGCTTTTGCCATGTCAGTTGTCCCCTTCTATGTTCAGCAATACCTGGTTTATCCTGCCTGTTCCTGTCTTCCCCCGTGTGTACTGATCATGCTTATCATGGCTGCTGATCCCTGACAGCATGGTCAGATTACATGTCTCCATCATCCTGGTGTGTATTCAGCATCTTTGCATCTCCCCCTCCCTCTCTCCCTGTCATTTCTGTAGTCTGTGTGAGAACTGTGAAGCTGATCTCCCTGCCCCTTCCCTCTCCTCCTGCCTTGATTGAATATTCTGCTGCTGCAGCTGCTCCTCTCTTTTGGTAAAGTAACGTCTATTATATACTTTTATCCTCTATGTTTCAGGAACATATTAAGTGCAGTGTGTGTATTTTTTTTTTTATAAAGCTAAATACCTTCTTTGCACAGGACCGCTGTGTGGTCACATGTCCTCCCTCTGCTAGCTTACATACGTCAGAAGAGAATCAGCCCCTTCCACTGCACTCCTTAGATTGAGAGGGCGAGCAGAGGGAGGACATGTGACCACACAGTAGAGCTAGGCAAAGAAGGTATTTAGCTTTATAATTTACACACACGGTATTTAACATGTTCCTAAAACAGAGAGGATAAAATAACAGATGTGACTTTACAGTAACTTTGGGAGTTAAAGTTGTACTTGAGGTAGATATAAAAAGGCACATATTATTTCAGCTTTGATTAAAGAAGAACTCTGGAATGGGCAAAAAAAATCACCCATCAGTACATCCCCCTACACAAAACACTAAACCGTTAACATTTAGGAGAAAAGTCTCATTGGATTTTCATGATCTCATCTCTGTAATTCAAAAGATAACAGCTTCTGCTCTGCCATGGAGGAGGTGTAACAGCAGGGATTACATCATATCCTCTCCTCTCTCTCTCTCTCGCTCTGCAGTAAAAGGAAACTACAGTTCCCATCAACCACAGGGAATTGTAGTGAATATGGGCAGGAACACTAGGCCTGTACATGTTGTATGTGTCTGAAAGCCTCAGTCTGCCCACCACTGCAATTTGGGCTGAATTACATCACTGCTTCCTGGAGGAGATGTGCCAGGACCAGTGGTTGGGGGGATAGGGAGGCATAGCAGCCATCAATCTTAAAACAGGAAACCAAAGAGAATTAATGGTTTGATTTGAAAATTAATAGGCTCTTTCAGAGCAACTACTGAATGAACCAGAATATGGGTGACATATTCAGTGAAGGTAGGAAATCAGCAGCAAGGACATGTAAAAACGTTTTTGCCCGGAGTTCTGCTTTAATTAATGCATTGTTAAATGTATGTTTTAAAAGCAAATGTGTAAGTACTTAAAGCACAGCTCCACCTTAAAAGTGAAGTTCAGTTTTAAGTCTTCGTCCTATGCTCCCTGTTTAAGATTGGAACCTTTGGGGAGCCAGGGGGGAGGTGGTACACAAATTTGATAGATACCCGCTACCATTTCCGCTGTGATCGCCTAGGGGATTGGAAGTTGAAGTTGTCGTCCCCCTCTCCCTCCCTGTAGTCTTCTGGGACATATGACAGGTCCCAGAAAACTACAGGACCACTCATAAAGCACAGCGCTACTTGTGCATGCGCAGTGGGCACCCGTTGTGAGGCCGTGAGCTGTCATAGCCGGGTGCCCATATTGAAGATGCCGGGGACACAGGACAGCCGGTGAACCCAGCCGGTCTGAGCACACTGCGGGATGCAGGGACAGGTGAATGTCTGTCTGTTTTTTAAAAGTTAGCAGTTACAGATTTTGTAGCTGCTGACTTATTTAATTTTGACTGGACCTCTTTAATGTTAACTTGGTATCATTCTCTTTACAATTTTGACAGGTAAAAATTTTGTATTTAGCTGTAAGTTTGAAACTAAGTTTCAATATTGTGGGCAAATGTGGTTGATGCTTATAAGCGACTTTTTTTTTTTTTTTTACTCATCATGTGGGCTGTTGTTATTCCAGCTTTACTGAAACTACATTGTAACATGAATCACAACATGCAACATACTGCTTTCTAGAAAAGTTTGTAAAAATATATCTCAATCATACAGTACAGGACACAAAGCAACCTATTTTTTTTAATTATTATTTTTATTCGAATTCGAACCCCTGGGGCACTTCCTCTATAATCTCGCCTCAATCTGTGATTCCTCTTTTTTTGCTATTGTCTGTTGGTGATGGACCACTTCTCCTTCCTGAAGAAACCAGCTTCACTACTTTTTTGTTTTCTTTTGTTATTTCCTAAAGATTTCTTCAATCACCCTAACTGTCTACATAAGCAATGTATTTGAATCAGTGTGACCTCGGTAGAACCTTTGGAACAGTACCCGCAACGCATGCTTTGTGGGCAACCTTGGCACTTGGTGTGACTAGTTCAGTTAGTCTAAGGGTGCTAAACAGGTCCAGTGCCTTGGTCTTTCAAAATGGAACTCAGTGTATGCTCACAGTGATAGGCGAAGACTGGACTTTTATACAGTCCAAAGTCGTGAGCAAGTAAGACAGGGTAGCCTTGCATCTTTGACTGTCATGGGGGTTTGTTTGGAATGTATTCACTTTACAGTTTAAACTTTTCAATCTTGGTGCTAAAATCCGGGCACTAAAATCCAGAGCTCAGCCTCAGGTGAATCACCAAGTGCTATGTCACACCATTAGTCGATCTTTTTAATGCCATTTTGTCCTAGAGCCTTTATAAGAAACTCAGGTGCTTCTTCCTGAGGATTTGTTGCAGTACGTACACTTGGGTATACCCAATACACATAGTACACTTGAGTTACTACATACTACAGACACGCTTGCCCTAGCTCCAACACTCTACTCTAGAGGAATAACCTCACTTGTAGCTATGGCGGAGACTAGGCAAAAAGGAGACCACTCTAAACAGTAGGTGAACATTTGCTCTGCCAAAGGTCTGCTTAACACTCAGCCTCAGAATAATGATGCATCCCTTGCATCGGAGCAGGAACCAGTCCTAACACCAGCTACTGCAACCAATTCTAGTCCTATTGCAGGCACACAAGTGGCTTATTTGACAAAATCAGAATTTTCTGCATTTATGGCACAATTTCTCAGTTCGATTATGGCCTTAAAGCAGATTTTCACCCTCCTCTCCTCCATTTTTTTTTAAACCATTACTTGCCTAGTGTTGAGTTATACACATTTCAGATTCTCACGCACCCAGTAGAACCAACATTGTCCAGCTGAGAACCTCTCCTCTCCTGCATTCACTATATCTGGTCTCCCACGGTACACTGGAAATTCAATTATTTTACTAAATATAAACTATTAAATACCATTTCTCATCAGAAGTTAGATTAGTCTTGTGACTTCTATCAGTGTTCAGCCAAGCACTGGTTAAAGCTTGTAGGAGGAGTTCTCATTTTTCTGTAGGAGGGTGCAAAACGCCTGACACCTGTCTGACCAGAGCTGATTGGCCCTGTGCACCCTCCCAAGAAAAAAAAAAAAACCTCTCTAGCAATACACACCACACTGGGCATGTGAAAAATGCCTATGGTTCAGTCTGTCTTATCAGGAGATAAGAGGTGATCACTTGAAAAAGGGGAGGAACAGAGAAGAGAGGATCAAATGTCCTTTTTACACAATGCAGAGGATTAACCCCTTAGGTTCCACAGTGAGTATAACAAGCATGCTTTACTGCATATACAGACTGATTTTACTGTTGTGGGTTTAGTAACACTTTAAACAAAATTTTCACTGCACTCATTGAAGATGTTCCTGTGGGCAGGAAATTTGAGGCTCTTAAAAGCTCTCTTTACCCTGGCAGTCCCAGCCCTGTCACCAGCTTTGACTGCTCTGTCAGTATGTCAAACTGCAGCAAACGATACCAGCACAATGAACAACCAACATGACCAGCATTACAGCTTCATCTGCTCTTCTTTTTTGTGTGGATGCCCTAGAAGACATCATGAGACACTTTACATTCTGGCTCCTATGTTCATATGTGTAGGATTCTCTGAATAAAAGCTTTCACAGCTGAATCTGCCTGCAAAAGATGTCACACACTTTCAAGACACATGCCTGTTTGGTGAAGCACTTGACCAATTTTTTAAGGAAGTCGCAGGTGGAGAGATTTGGCATCCTCAGAGAAAGGTAACAAAACCCTTTTTGCTTTTACCTCCTCTATATGCAGAGCACCTTCATGCTCCTCCCAGCCATATCACCTTATATGGTGCAAGATATTTTCCCCTCATGGACAACCACTTATTTTCTTCTCCAATCCACATCTTAGAAGTGGACAGCTGGTAGGTGGAGGTTTTCATCCATCATCACCGCAACCCAGAACAATAGTCTTGTCATCCAGAGATATTCTATGCAATATGCCAAACATAGGAGATTCTGAAAGTGAATATCCTAATCTCCAGTTAACACAAGTTGTCCTTGTTCTCATTCCACAAATGCTCTAACTCTAGCCTTGGATACTCATAATATCCCCCGCCCTCTGTTCAGGCCACTCAAGCCTTTCCTCCTCTTACCATTCTGTTTCCCTACTCCACTATCAACTGTAGGATTGAAAGACAGTGTTCCTCTTATACCTTATTAGTTTAGATTTCTAAGACTTGTTACAGAAGACCCCATGCCTCTTCCCAATCTCAAGGCCCTCTTTTACACTAGTCTTCACAGGCTT